AAAAACAGAATTTAGTACCCAATCAGCCATGCCTGGCGAGTTACCGAGTTGAACTCGTAAAATGTAGATCAATTTTTGAAAACGGATCTTTTATGGCCGGTTAAAATCCTAAAACTTATTGTCTATCCGGCGTTGCAATCATCCCATAATTTACAGATTGACATACTGAAAGGTCTGAGAGTCCCAAAACATACCACTTCGGGTCCTTGTCCAATTTTTGGCAYGTAGCGTTCAAATCACTTGCCAGTTGCCAGTTTGCCACCCCTGTGATGTCGTAAAATATTGTATAGGAAATATTAAGTGTTTGAAATTTTGAAAGAAAAATAAAGTACCAAACTTGTATAATAATATCTTTGAAACTTTGTTACTTTGTCATTATTAATTTGTCTTTTTACTGTGTTATATATATAATATTATAATTGTGTAACCGTATTTATGCTGAAAAAAATTGTACCTAAATTCTTAAATTTCGGTCGATAACGTTTAAGCTGTAATTTTGATGGTCAAACAAACGGATAATCAAAAGTTAAATTTAACCTTGTTAGTTAAAAGTTAAAGTAACAYAAGTATAGTGGTTCCCTTCGCCTACCGGCTCCGGTCACCCAAACCCTCTAATATAGTCAGTCTCTGAGAAAGGGCGATAATAATAATAAATAATTATTTTGATTGTACCATCTTCCTTAACTTATTAACATACGTATGTTTCAAGAAAAAAATCACGAAAGGTTGGATTAACGTACAGTTGCGCACTTGCGCTCATGCGTAAAAGACGGTTAATCAAAAACTTCCAAAGGCTATAACTTCGAAACTAAATCCGAGATCTGACTAACAAATTCTGATTGGACCATTGTTGTTAATTAATAGAAAATAATTAAGATAGCTTAAGAAAAGATAATTTTCGAAAAAAAAAATGAAAAATCGCCATAGGTTGGTAAAATTAGGTAGAACAAAATTATTACTACACCAGTGTACACGAAGAATGAAGGGCATGCACATCATGGCTTATCTATTCACTATATGTATAGGCATTTTTCTAGAAGGCATGCCATAATAATATGAACAGTCAAAATAAGATTTTTTATAATGAATAAATAACAAAACCTGTTGGTAAGATCTATGTGTTAAGATTCCTGTAATTATATCTTTTTCAAAAATCATGTCTTTATAAAAATATTTAAAATATGATTTTATTTTTCAACAAAAACAAATTTTGAAAAAATTATYTTATAGGTGATAAGTAATGAAAATGGGGAACGAAAAAAAAAGTTTATTTAACTTGAAACATTTTAAATAAAACTTAGGTCTCCCAAGATTTTTTAAAACTATAACCTAAAATATTAATTTACACTTTT